TCCCCCCTTGCTTCGAAGAGGCGGGCTTTTTCGAGCGGTTCCCTCCGACAGTGGTCGCCCATGAAGCTGAGGCCATCAAGAAGATGAGTAAAGAGGAAAGGAAGGCCTATCTGGCCGCCAGCGTGGACGGGCTGGTTAAAATGGCCGAAATGGCTCTGGTGTTATCTGAGGATGCAGGGGATGCTGCTCGTGTTGAAGAGCTCGAGCAGGAGAAGGCGGCCTTGACTGCGAGCTCGCGGAAGTTGAAGGTCGCTCTGGAACGCTCCGAGGGGATGTTCCGAGAGCAGACCGCGATACTTGATGCCGAGAGGGAGATGCTGACCTTGGAAAAGGAGAAGTCGGGGAGGTTGACTGAGGAAGGGGAGTTGCTCCGGACCGACAGGGATCGCTTGGCTGCTGAAGTCGAACGCCTGGGTAAACAGGTTGAGGAAATGAATGCTGTCCTGCAACCTGCCGAAGATGAGCCCGAGGACCTAGTGAATTTGAAGAGTCGGGCTGAGCTGGTCGCCCACATCCGGCTCCTCGAGGCGGACTGCGTCGGTGCTCTGGAAGACGGGTTCAATTCTGCAGTCGACCAGCTCTCATTGCTAAACCCCGGTCTGGTCACTGAGGGTATCGGTCACACCCACCGGATTGTAGGTGGCACGATCGTTCCCCCGCCCGACTCTCCTGGCGTCGACAATGATGAGAATGTGGAAGTTTGAGTAGGATAGCGGGCCTGCGTGCCCTTGATATTTGTATTTGTATTCTTTGGGCCTGCGTGCCCGTTCATTGTATGTTTTGAACACCGCCGGCCTTCTTGGTCGGTTTAATATTGCTTTGTTGCCTTCGGGCGTTTATACCTTGTTATTCATTTTGGATTTTTTGCCCTTGTATGAACTCACATGCTTGTATGAATTTAGCTCAAGTCCCGGGCCCGAGGAGTGCCCGTAGGTGGCTTTGATTTGGCGAGCGAATATGCTCGTCTCCATTTGTGTGCAATCTCGGCCCTATTTTGATTGGCCGTGGTTGCCTAAGTGTTGCGCTCGGGGGGAGAGATTTTCTTTGACCCTTATAGATGTCCCGTTATCCTTGATAGAATGTCGGGCAATACGGAGCGAGGTTGCTCAGTCGAGCGTGGAGCTCGTTAGGGACGATTCTCCCTTGGCGTGAACTGCCCATCGCGAGCTGGGTGTTCTGCCTTATGGGTACGTCGACGGTGGGGCTCGGTACAGCTGTCCACGTCGGGCACTCTCGATCGTCAATGTTTACCGCGCGATGCCGTGCCAATTTGGTCGTGTGTCGGGCCTGTACCTTAGCCTTAAACGAAATTTGACGTTTTTCCTCGTTGCCCGAGCGTGGTTGCTTCTGGTCGAGGGTCCTAGGTGTTGACAGTTTCTAACTGTAGTACTGCTTCAACTTGGCAGCATTCCAGGGTCTTGGTAATGGCTCTCCGTTTAACTGCTCGAGGTAGTACGCCCCGGTACCCGTGGTGCCGTGGACGCGGTAAGGTCCTTCCCAGTTCGCGGCCAACTTCCCTTCGCGGGAGTCTTTCTGGTTTCTGCGTAGTACCAGGCTGCCTATTTCGAACTCGCGCTTGATGACCTTGTCGTTGTGGCGTAGAGCCACTCGTTGTTTTAGGGTGGCTTCGCGCAGGGCAGCCCCCGATCGGATTTCCTCGACTAGGTCGAGTTCATCCCTTAGTGCTTCGTCATTCATCTCTTCATCGAGGGGCTCCTCCGTTCGACGGGATGGTTCCAAGATTTCGACCGGGATGACAGCTTCGGTACCGTAGGTCAGTCGGAACGGTGTTTCCCCCGTCGTTGAGTGGGGTGTGGTGCGTATGCCCACAGGACGCTGTGGAGCTCCTCGACCCATCCTCGTTTGGCTTCGCCGAGTCGACGTTTGAGTCCTCGGAGGATGACTCTGTTCGCGGCTTTGGCTTGCCCGTTGGTCTGAGGATGTTCGACCGACGTGAAGTGTTGTTTGGTCCCCAGTTTGGTGACGAAGTCTCGGAATCCGTGGTCGGTAAACTGGGTACCGTTGTCGGTCACCAGTGCCTGCGGAATTCCGAACCTGGCGAGCACGTTTCTTTTGTAGAAACGGAGGATATTGTGTGAGGTGATCTTTGCGAGTGCCTCGGCCTCGATCCATTTCGTGAAGTAATCCACGGCGACGATTAGAAACTTGTTCTGATAGGTCCCTTGCACGAAGGGCCCGAGGATGTCCATGCCCCACCAGGCGAACGGCCATGGGGACGACAATGTGTTCAGCTCGTGCGGTGGGGAGAGGTGCATATCTCCGTGCTTCTGGCACTTGTCACATTTTTTCACGTGTTCCTTGGCGTCCTGTTGCATCGTCGGCCAGTAGTATCCTGCTCGAAGGGCTTTCCTTGCTAAGGATTTACCGCCCATGTGCTGGGCGTTGATGCCTTCGTGTATCTCCCGCAGTACGTCGGGGATGGAGGACTCGTCAATGCATTTCAGGAGGGGAATGGAGAATCCCCTTCGGTACAGTTTCTGGTCGAGAACAACGTAGGAACATGCTCGCCGCTTTATTATGGCAGCGTCGGCCTGGTTCGTCGGAAGTTCTCCCTTTGTTAGGAAATTATAGACCGGGGTCATCCAAGACGTGGCGTCCCCGATGGCGTGGACCTCGACCGTAGTCGAGGGTGGTTCGATGCTCGGTCGTGCCAGAGATTCCTGGATGACGGATTTATTCCCGCCTTTCTTTCGTGTGCTCGCGAGTTTGGACAATATGTCCGCCCTCGTGTTTTGCTCGCGGGGAACGTGAGAGATTTCTGCTCGTACGAACTTTGTCATGTGTTTTTTGACTAAGTTCAAGTACTCAGTGAGGTTGTCATTCTTGGCCTGGTAGCTTCCCTGTACTTGGGAAGCGACGAGCTGGGAGTCGGTGTAAATTTGAACTTCACGGGCTCCTAGGTCCTCGGCTAGTCTCAGTCCTGCGAGCAGGGCTTCGTATTCTGCCTGGTTATTTGACGTCGGGAAGGAGAGAACCAAGGAGTGCTCGATTACCACACCTTCTTCGTTTTCGAGGAGGATCCTTGCGCCGCTTCCGGACGCACTGGAGGCTCCGTCGACGAAGATGGTCCATTTGTGTTCCTTTCCCGGGGGAACGTCGTTAGGGGTCATCTCGGCGACGAAGTCGGCCAAGGCTTGTGCTTTCAGGGCTTTCCTGCTCTCGTACTGAATGTCGAATTCAGAGAGTTCCAGGGACCACTTCAGCATTCTGCCCGCCATATCTGGCCGACCCAGAAGTTGCCTCACCGGTTGATCGGTTCACACGATGATGGTGTGTGCTAGAAAGTAGTGTCTGAGCCTCCTCGCAGCGTTGACGAGGGCCAGAGCAACCTTTTCTATCTGTTGATATCTGCTTTCGGGGCCTTGTAAGGCTTTGCTCGTGAAGTAGACAGGTTTCTGCCCGTCAGGAGTCTCGCGGACAAGAGCTGCACTGATGGCTTCGTTTGATACTGCCAAGTATAGGTATAGTGGCTCGTCGTCATCTGGTCGAGACAACACGGGCGGTTGAGACAGGCTCTGCTTCAGATGGCGAAGTGCGTGTTCGCATTCCTCGGTCCATTCGAAGGCTGCTTCCTTTCGAAGGAGTTTGAAAAAGGGAAGGGCGTGCTGAGCGAACTTCGCGACGAAGCGTGATAGTGACGTCAACATGCCGTTCATGACCTGTATCGACTTCTTCGAGGTTGGTGTCGGGAGGTCGGAGAACGCCCGACACTTGTCGGGGTTGGCTTCAATCCCTCGTTCTGTTAGATAGAATCCGAGGAATTTTCCTGCCTTGACCCCGAACGTGCACTTCTCGGGGTTGAACCTCATTTTGCATTGTCTTGCTTGGGCGAAGACAGTCTTGAGATGAGCTGCGTGATCGGTGTCTGCTCGAGATTTGACGATCATGTCGTCCATATATACCTCGAGCATGTCGCCGATCTGTTTATTGAACACTTTGTTCATCATGCGTTGGTAAGTCGCGCCGGCGTTCTTCAGTCCGAAGGGCATTACATTGTAGTAATAGTTGCCCGAGCTGGTCATGAACGCCGTGCAGCGTTTGTCGCCCAGGGCCATTGGGATTTGATTGTATCCCGAGTAGGCGTCCATGAACGACAAAGTTTTGTAACCGGCCGAATTGTCGACCAGCATGTTGATGTTAGGTAGAGGAAAAGCATCCTTCGGGCAAGCCCGGTTGAGGTCGGTATAGTCAACACACATTCTCCACTTTCCATTATTCTTTTTGACAAGTACAACATTTGACAGCCAGGTGGAATACCGGGCTTCAGAAATAAAATTTGCCTCTAAGAGGTCTTTTACAGCTTTTTCAGCAGCCTCCGTTTTTTCTGGAGACTGCCTACGCCTACGTTGTACTACGGCCTTGGCGGCTGGATCAATGGCGAGGTGATGACAGGCGACCTCAGGGTCGAGTCCGGGCATCTCTGCAGCGCTCCAGGCGAAGAGATCAGTATTCTCGCGCAGACAGGCCTTGATTTGCTTCCTGGCCAAGTCGGGGAGGTCCTTGCCAATCTTCACTCCCTTGGTCGGGTCTGCTCCGAGGAGAACGAGTTCGAAATCGCCCAGTCCAGAACAGTTAGTGTGATAGTGTCTTTCTACTCTTCCATAATCATTTTATCAACAATTAACAACAAAACCAATAAGTCAATAAGAATCATTTCATCTAACAACTACAATGGCAATGCACAAACAACAAAGGCATGAAGTCGGCTGCTAACAATATCTAACAACAATTACTCCCTCAGTTTATATATTATACCTCACTTTCATTTTACAATATCAATTAATCATTAATGTTATTTTCATTATTATATGATATTCTGATGTATTTATTATTCTTTTCTTTTAATTATTTAAATTTATTATTTTCATAACATTAATGAAGGAAGGACGGTTCTATAAAATCATTCATAATTTTACTTTTTTATTCAACAATGAACATTTCACATATAATAAAAAACAGATGTAGTATTTCATCTAACAATGGTGTTTATCCCTTTTCCCATTTTGAGCCACCTAGTTTCCACCCTCGAGTTCGCAAAGCTTCTAATCAACCGTGACAACCGTCTCCGAGTAACAGTGTTAGTTATCGAATTCCCAAACACAACAGAAACCGATGTGTTCACTAAATCCCTTCCCATTACTGATTCACTCCAAGTCATCAACCTTCTAGAATGTCCTCTTCCTTCAAACACCAATCAAGGTTCCACCATGAACGCTCTCCTCGAAGCTAACAAACCAAATGTCAAACAAGACATCTTTAACCTCACTGCTGGCCAAGAAAACGGAGTCCTCGCCGCCTTTGTAGTTGACATGTTCTGCACCACCATGATTGATGTTGCCAAAGAATTTTCTGTCCCTGCGTTTGTCTTCTTTACTTCCGGCATTGCTTCCCTTGGTTTGATCCTTCATCTTCACACTCTACATGAACGAGACAATATTGATTCAACTCAGCTGCGGCAGCAGAATGAGTTAGCCATCCCGAGTTTTGCCAACTTGGTTCCTATAATCTCGTTGCCAGGTTTTGTAATAAATAAGAAACAGGTTGTGGCTGGAATTCGACACTCGAAAGCATATATTTTGGTGTGCCTATTGCTGCGTGGCCGCTCTATGCTGAACAACCGAGTAATGTTTTTCAATTGGTGTGTGAGCTGAAAATGGGTGTGGAGATTGCATTGGATTATAAGGTGGAGTTTAATGGTGAGTCTAACTATCTTGTAACTGCTGATAAGATTGAGAGAGGAATAAAGAGTGTGTTGGATAAGGATGGAGAGATAAAGAAGAAAGTGAAAGAAATGAGCGAAAAAAGTAAGAAGACTTTGATAGAAGGTGGATCTTCCTACATATATTTAGGTCGTTTGATTGATTACATTGTGAATAAAATATCAAATTAAATTATCCTAGTAAGCTAGCAAAGGATTTCAAAAAAAGCTAGTGGCTATTAGTTTACTTATCAACAAAAAATTTAAATTTTATACATTTCAAAGCTTTCAAATAATGACTAATTACTGTTGTTTTTTCTGCAGCAAGATAATGACTAATTACTGATACAGTCTGTAACTGTTGGTGATCAAATCTATTTTTTGCTAGTATACATCTGAATAAGTACACACATAGAAGTTCATCAAGTTTATGTATGACTAAACTTCCTTGAAATATTATTTCGCTGGCCATATATAATCTGCATTGGATTATAAATTTATAATTTACATTTATAATCAATTAGATTACATAGTGTTCATATATAGATCTATTATCCGGACTAAGAGAGATAAAAAGGCAAAAAATGGATAAAAGGTTAAGGAGGACAAATAAATGCTTAGACAGGTAATACCTCAGTTTGAGATCAACATGTCTGAGTCAGGTTGTATAGTCGGAGGCATATGTGGTGGACCATCGAGAAAGATAAAGAGGCGCTAGCCAGGCTTATCCCTGAATCTAGAGTCTGGTCTTGATGAGGCCGTTATAGAGTGATTGGTCCATTAAGGGTGTAACCGCTCATCAATACATGGCGACCCGCGTTATGATAACAACCATCATTGGCAACAACGGACGTTTCTTGTCTTAATGGCAAACTCAGTTACGTATGATGGAGAGTCACAGTAGTTACATACAGTGATCAATGAGGTCCAAATACCTTTATATATAGGGCTCCCGACTGAGAGGTAAGCAAGACACATTGCTTGGAGCTCACACATACTTGTGTGACCCTCTGAATCCCTTAATATCGTAAACAATTCACTCCCTCTTGCTTGAGGATCTCTCCGATATTCTTCAACTAGCGGGGAAGTCACCAATTTAGTGTTTAGCAAGAACATTTGACGCCCACCGTGGAACCTGGTAAAACTTTCCTAGGCCGCATTATCCAAACACCTTTGAGCAATGTCTTCTGATAAGGATCCCCCTCCAGGTATGGCGCGGTTATTGGTCATGATCAAGGATCTTCGCCAGCAGAACGATACGCTGCAGGACAACGTCCAGGTCCTGCAAATGAAGAGTCGAGACAATGGCGATCAAGGGCTTGAGCTTTTGGAGCCTCGGTCATTATCCCAGGCTATTTAGAACGATCAGGTTCCAGAGAATTTTAAACCTCCGACATTTATAACATGCGATGAAAAAATTAATCCCCATGAACACATCATTGTTGTTAATAATATGATGGCAATAATCGGGACTAACGATTCGCTGAAGTGAAAGCTTATGGATGGAACTTTCAAGGAATCGGTCCTGAGGTGGTACACGAGCCTTCCCAAGCACTATGTTCAACTACCATGAGTTCACCAAGAAGATGGTTCAACAGTTATCGGCAACCCGGCATCGGAAGGTGTCGACAATAACGTTGTTTAATGTTCGTCAACTCCAGTCAAAATCCTTGAGGGATTACATGGCCCGGTTCAATGAGAAAACCATAAAGGTCTCTCATCCTAATCAGGAGATATTTGTGGCAGCTTTCCAGCACGGTCTCCGGGCTGGCCAATTCAATGAGTCACTGATCCAAAAACTAGTTGTCAGCATGGACAAGATAATCACTCGGGCCGAGTGCTATGTAAAAGGAAAAGAGAGTAACATGGAAACGAGAACTAGAGACACTGGAGAAAAATGAAGGGTCCGGGAGAAGCTTCCGGGCAGAAGAAGGAGCATATCAGGTCTCGTGATCAACTGCCACCTAGGAAGCGGCCTCCTCACCGACCATCCTGGTGACCTTTGGTTTCGGACGAAGACCTCAATCCTCTAAATTCCAGAAGAGAGGACATCTGGAGAGATGTAAATCACCTTAACTTGCTGCCTAGACCTTGGCGTCCTCATGGAATAAACGCAATCTTGAGGGATGACACCGAGGCTTGGTGTGTGTATCACCGGATCCAGGGACATCATACTGAGGATTGCCATCAGCTGAAAAAGGAAATTGAGAAACTGATCCAAACGGAAAAATTGTTGTCTTATGTCAAAGGTAATGTCGAGCAAGCCTGAAAACAAAGCCCTCCCAGGAGGTATGATAACTCGGAATGCCCTTCCAAGAAAAAAGGAAAGGCAACAGATGAAGTCCGAGAAGCGCGACTGACCCGGCACACACTCAATACCATCTCTGGAGGATTTGCTGGAGGAGACTCCACCAGCTCGACATTAAATAGGTATGCCCGAAATGTAATGCATGTGGCTCAGGTGGAATGGGCAGACAAAATCGGAGATCCCGGTGCTGTCACTTTCTCCCAGGAGGAGGCAGAAGGAGTCCTGCCATACGAAAATGATCCCATGGTCATTAAAGTTCAGATCAGGGATTTGAGTGTTAAGTGGGTGCTAGTCGATCCCGAAAGCTCAACCGACGTGATGTACTAGAAAGCCTTCAAAGGAATGGACTTTAACTCAAAAGAGTTGCTACTATTCAATGGGACCTTAGTCGGGTTTCCCGGAGAGCAGGTACAGGTGCTCGGGCACCTTCCGATTCTAATTGTATTCGGAATGAAGGTGAACACCAAAGCAGTTAAAGTACAATACTTGATTGTCAATGCAGCATCTCCCTACAACATCATAATCGGGAGACCATTATTCAATGCACTAGAGGCGGCGCTATCAACCCTGTACCTCACTATGAAGTACCCTATCGGCGAGGGCCGTGTAGGAAATGGTACGTGGAGACCAAAGTCTGGCACGTAAATGTTATAAGGACAGTCTGAAACTGAAAAGGAAGACTACAAATATAGAAGAAGTAGACAACCATAAAGTTAATATGGTCGATATTGATCCTTGGGGAGATCCCAAAGAGGATAACCTAGCTCCTCGAAAAGAAACTAAAGAGGTTCAGATTGGTCCTCAATCCTCGGAGATTACTCACCTGGGAACCAATCTACCACCGGAGGAGGCTGAAATTGTTGATATTCTGAAGAGAACATTGATCTGTTTGCGTGGAAGTCATCTTACATGCCCGATATTGACCCTAACGTCATGTGTCATCACTTAGCACTTGACCCAGGGGTGAAACCGGTGTCCCAACAAAAAATAAAGGGCGGCGAGGAAAAGAGAAAGGCGATAGTTGAAGAGGTGGATAAATTGATGAAGGTCAGATTCATCGAAGAGATCAAGTATCCTACCTGGCTATCCAATGTGGTAATGGTTAAAATGAAAACCAGAAAGTGGCGAATGTGCATAGACTTCACCGACCTCAATAAGGCATGTCCAAAGGATCCTTATCTGTTGCGTCATATTGACCGGCTGATCGACGAAGCTTCTGGGTTCAGGTTGCTCAGTTTTATGGATGATTATTCCCGATATAACCAAATTCGTATGAACCCGTTGGCTGCATCAAAGACAACATTCATGACAGATCAGAATTACTACGAGGTTATGGTGTTCGGTCTGAAGAATATTGAGGCTACTTACCAGAGATTAATGGATATGGTTTTTGCTCCACATATTGGACGGAATATGGAGGTATATGTTGACGACATGGTGATCAAGACTATTGAAGAACGAAGGCATGTTCAGGATCTGGAAGAGACTTTCGCGGCGGTGAGAGTTATAACATGCACTTGAACCCGGACAAGTATATGTTTGGAGTTCAGACCGAGAAGTTCCTAGGGTTCATGCTCACAAACCGGGGAATAGAAGTCAATCAAGACAAATGTCAAGCATTCATTGACATGAGGAGCCCGACATCTATTTGTGAATTCCAACAACTAACCGTCCGTTTGGCCGCCTTATATCGTTTTCTATCTTGTGCAGGTGATAAATAGATTCACTTCTTCGCAACAATTAAAAAGAAGGCTGACTTTGAATGGACCGACCACTGCGAAAGAGCTTTCCAGGAAGTCAAACAGTTCTTGTCATCTCCCCTTATACTGATCCAACCTAAGGAAAATATACCTTTGGTGCTTTATCTAGAAGTATCGGATAAAGCCATAAGCTCAGTTCTGATCCAAGATAAGGAGTCAGGTGAGAGACCAGTTTATTTTATCAGCAAGGTACTGTGAGGGGAAGAGCTTAGATACCATAAGATTGAATGACTAGCTTTTGCGTTGGTGGTAACAACAAGAAAACTGAGGCACTATTTCCAGGGTCATCCTATCCTAGTGAAAACAGATTTCCCAATAAAGCAAATTCTGAAGAAGTCGGACCTAGAAGGACGAATGGTGGCATGGGCTGTGGAACTCTCAGAATATGACATAAAGTTCACCCCACGCACTAGCATAAAGTCTCAGGTGTTGGCCGACTTTTTGGTAGAACTGGGTGCTCCGATGAATGAAGAGACGTCTACAAAATGGGTTATGTCCGTGGATGAATTATCCAATCTGAGGGGCAGTGGGGTTGGTATTGTGTTAGAAGGACCAGGAGACTTGGTCCTTGAATATTCATTGTGCTTTAATTTTCAAACTAGCAACAACCAAGCTGAATATGAAGCCTTGATTTCCAAAATGAAACTAGCTAAAGAGGTCGCGATTACCCACCTGCTTGTATGGACCGATTCACAGTTAGTGGTCGGGCAGGTTGGAGAAGAGTTCCAGACCAAAAATCCTATTTTGCTGAAATATCTACAACAGGTTATGCAGCTATCGAAGGAGTTCCAAGAGTTTACAATATGCCACGTACCTAGAGAAGAAAATACCTGAGCTGATCTATTAGCCCAACTGGGTAGCACAAGAGGTTCAGGTCTGAACAAA